TAGTCTCTCCATCTAAAGGGTAGTCTTTGGACTGAGGACCAACAACAGCAGACAACAACCTGACATTATCATACATGACAACACCAATCCAAAAATACAAGTATTCAAAGTAAAACAAACCTACAAGACTCAAAATAGGAAACCATTGATACCAATTTATAATGAACTCAACTACAAAGCAAAAGGTAATAGTGTAGATACAGAGGCTCCAAATGGCAAGGAAGTCAAATAAATTTTAAGATAAAACAGATTGTTTTAAATAGGGAAAAAAATGCAAGAAATTACAGAGTAACCTGAACATTTATACACCTGCTCATCAAAAGAAAAATCAGAAAGATTTAGTAAATATTAACACAGCAGAAATTAAAATGAAAGAAAATCCACAAACAAAGTAACTCAGTGCAGGAAATTATGTATAACAAAGAAACCAGCATCACTACACACAAATAAATACACACACACAACAAAATGACTGCAATCAATTCATACCTATTGATAATTACACTGAATGCCAATGAATTAAATCACCATTAGAGAAACAGAACAGAATGGATAAGAAAACAGGATCCTTCAATATATGGTCTACAAGAGTCTCATCAAAAAGATGGAGACAAACCCCTCAGAGCAAACCCCCTTCCAAGAATGAGACTCAAGGGGAATACATGAGCAGGCATGTGGTCTGGCTGGTGACCATGTTGGTCACCGATAAGGGGAAGAGAGGGAAAAAACAGCAATGAAGTTGCAAGCTAAGCCCGACCACATTCAGTAGACCCCTGTGAACCCAGGTGGAGACCTGGATGACTAACAATATGGCAAGACCCAGGGACTTCTGGGCCCAGAGACAGTGACATGGACACAGAGGACTAGAGCAGAGAGTGAAGCGTCCAGCTGATATGAAGTGAGGGGAGATGCACAAGAAATCATACTTGCAGATGGTACCCACTTGACCTGGCTTCTATGGCTGGTTGATCAGAACTCTACTGGAAGAAGAAAGAAGGGGGGCAGGGGGAAGAGTAACCTGCTACAATTTGATGAACTTTACCTATACTTATGGATGTAGTAGCTCAAAAAGGGGACTAAATCTTTACAACAAGGATCATTCCCACCCCCTCCATACACAGGGTTGACAGGGATGGGCAACTTAGACATTGGCTACCCAAAATGGGGGAGGAGGGCTATAAAGGCAAGAAGTGACTGGCTTACAAACTTTCAAGAGGGAGCCTAGTTCCAGATGGGGCGGGGGAAGGTAGATTCACCACTGAATGATTTCCAATCTGTTGGGCCTGGGTTGGCAAAAGGAAATAGGGGCACGACTCTTGTGGTACAATAGTGAATAATTGTCATCAGGACTGACTGTGAGGGTAGCAAATATAGAGGTAGATGTTTTTTGACAAAAGGAGGGGAGTGATTGATTTTGCAGCCCAGGAGCTGATGTCACTGGAAACATCAAGTGAGAAGAATGGAGAGCGGGACCCTACCCGAGAGGCAGTGACACCAGGGATGGAGACAATATGACATGGACAGATGGAGTGGCTGGGGACACTGGACTCAGGGAGGGAGAAGGGCTGTGTGTTGGTGGCCAGAGGGCGGGCTTGTGTGGTGTACCCTTTGATTATTAATCATTGCAATGAAATGAAATATGATAGGATGAGTGTAAATCTGATGTTCTCCCATGCAAACCTCACAATAAAAACTTAAAAAAAAAAGATGGAGACAACTTAACTGTCCATCAATGGAAGAATGTTTCAACAACTTTGGTATATACACACAATGGAATACTATGCAACACTGAAGAATAACATAAAAACACCTCACATAATGGATCAACCTGCAAGACATTATGCTGAGTGAAATTCGGCAGTCACAAAAGGGCAAATATTGTTGAGACCAATGTTATAAAAAGTTAAGAAAATGTTTTCTTAATAAAAGAACAAATCTATGATGTTTACTGGGGATTGGGGGAAGGGAAAATTATTCACGGGCTAAAGGGAGACATATGTTAACATGGGTGACCAGGAAGGCAATATACAAGAGGGAGATGAGCAGAGGAAAGATGAAGGTAGCGGTATACACAGGGAAGAATGCAATAGTTAAAGCGAATAAAGGTAAATACAATTAACTCATGGTACATGGAGGGTATTCCAAAGAAAGGTGGCCCAACAGATAGTGGAAATCACAAAACAATATCATTACTATCACATGCAAGTAAAATTTGCTGAATATATTTCAAAGTATCGTCACGGAATTGCCACAGGTTCAAGCTGTTGTTCAAGCCTTCAGACAAAGACATGGAACTAGGGATATCATTGCTGATGTCAAATGGATCTTAGCTGAGAGCCGAGAATACCAGAAAGATACTTACCTGTGTTTTATTGACAATTTAAAGGCTTTGAACTGTGTGAATCATGACAAGCTATGGGTAACATTGGAAAGAATGAGTATTCCAGAACACTTAATTGTGCTTATGAGGAACCAGTACATAGACCAAGAGGTATTCACTTGGACAGATCAAGAGGATACGGAATGGGTTAAAATCAGGAGAGGTATGTGTCAGCATTTTATTCTTTCCCCATATTTATTCAACCTCTATGCTGAGTAAATGATTCAATATGAATTATGTGAAGAAGAACGTGGCATCAGGATTGGAGGAAGACTCATTAACAACCTGCGATATGCAGATGATACAACCTTGCTTGCTGAAAGTGAAGAGGATTTATTGATGAAGATCAAAGACAACAGCCTTCAGTGTAGGTTGCACCTCAATGTAAAGAAAGCAAAAATCCTCATAACTGGACTAATAAATAACACCATGATGAATGGAGAAAAGATTGAAGTTGTCAAAGACTTAATTTTGCTCTGAACACCCATCAACACTCATGGAAGCAGCAGTTAAGAGATCAAATGACATATTGCATTAGGCAAATCAGCTGCACAAGACCTCTTTTTAAAGTGTTTAAGAGCAAAGATGTCAGTTTGAGGACTAAGGTGAGTCTGATCTAAGCCATGGTGTTTCAGTAGCTTCATATGCATATGAAAGTAGGACAATGAATAAGGAAGAATGTAAAATAATTGATGCATTTGAGTTATTGTGCCAAAGAAGAATATCCAAAGTACCACGGACTACCAGAAGAACAAACAAATCTGTTTTGGAAGAAGTACAGCCAGAATGCTCCTTAGAAGCCAGGATGACAAGACTTCCTCTCTCATACTTGGGATATGTTATCAGAAAAGACCTATCCCTGGAGAAGGACGTCATACTTGGTAAAGTGGAGGGTCAGCAAAAAAAAGGAAGACCCCCCCCCCCCAACGATGGATTGGCGTAATCACATCTGCAATGGACTCATGCGTAACAATTGTGAAGATGGTGTAGGACCAGCAGTGTTTTGTTTTTTTGTGCATAGCATAGATAGGGTTGCTATGAGTCAGAACCCACTCAAAGGCATTATACCCCGTACTTGCGCCTACTCTTCCCACCTGGATTCTTTAAAGATATGCCCTTGTTGTTGCGAGGTGCCAGTGGAGTGGGTTCTGACTCAAAGCCACTCTGTATAGGGTTTCTGAGGCTTTAAATCTTCATGGGAACAGAAAGCCTCATAGTTCACTCCCCAAACGGCTGGTGGGCTCGATCCGCAGATCTTATCGTTTGAAGTTCAGTGCTTATCCCATGGAACCACAGTGCTCTCTGTTGTCTAAAAATCACTTTACTTTATCTATAAATACGTCAGTATGTATCTTTCAAGAGTTGAGGTCTGCTTTTTAATAGACATTAAGGCCGTTTTTATACTTTAAACTTGTGTGTGTGTGGTAATTTCTTAATATTTGGAGTCCTGGTTTGGAGTGGACCGCAAAGTACGTTTGAATCTCAAGCCAGCGGGACAAACTTAGCTGCTCCTCGGAAACGCTATACAGTGTCGCTATGGGTCGGAACCGACTCGATGGCATTTAAAACAGTAATTTATTATCCTAGTCGTGTTCTCTGATTATTTCATAAAGAACTTTTACAGTGGATTTCCTTGAATTAGGATCTAAACAAGGTTCACACGTTGTTTATTATTTTGGGTACGTCCCTAAGTTGTTTTTTTTTTTTTTTATTGCAAATTGGCTTCCCATCCCATTTTGTTCTCCTTGCCATGGATTCTACCCTGGTGTGGCGCAGTGGGTTAATGCGCTGGACTGCAAAGTCGGTTTGAACAGCAAGGTCGGCAGTTCAGGCTCATCAGTTGCTCCTCGGAAACCTTATGCAGGGTCGCTATGGGTCGGAACCGACTCGACGGCACTTACCAATAACAAAGTATCTACCACTAACTCGTGGCCAATTTGTGAAGTAGATTTGACTGGTAGACAAAGAACCTCCCCTCTACCCTATCCGATCAGTGACCTCCAGATTCTGCGTTGTTTCATCCACTTTCCGAAATCCTCGAAAATTGAGCAAGTGCCCAACCCTCGCTTGAGTGATCGTGGAAAAATCAGTTGTATCATTAAGCATTAGTTTAAAGCATAGTAATTTTCCACAGCAAAAACGCTTTCCGTCCAGGAATGAGACTGGAATTTTAATTGTTGTCCTCTCGTTTTTAATTGTCCCTTCCAGGACGCCGTCCTCTTTCGGTGTCAGCCGACTAGCGAAAGCGACTTCCGGGAGTTCTCGGAAGTCATTTCCTTTTCTAGCGGTGGTCGGGGGTATCCTTCGGTCTCGATGTGAAGACTGTGCGGGTGGAGACCCGAATCCTGCTTGCGTGTGGGGTGGATCAGGAAAGATCGGGTCGGGACCCGGTGGTGACAGATCTGAGTCAAGGTTCCTCTGAAGCTGCAGCTGTCCGGCTGGGAGGTGGCCATTCATTTCTCGTCGGCGTCTAAAGGACAAGGACCTTTCGGAGGATTCCTTGGATGTTCGTGCCCGCACCTGAAGAGTTGTCTCCCCGGGATTATCCTGGGCTGTTGCTGGCTGTCTCAGAGCCGAGGGAGCCCCCTTGCTTCACCTCGCAGCCCAGGTGACCGCTGCTATGGCTTTTCCCCATCGGCCGGACGCGCCTGAGTTGCCTGACTTCTCCATGCTTAAAAGACTGGCCAGAGACCAGCTCATCTATCTGCTGGAGCAGGTCAGTGCCCACCATGCCTGGGGCCTTTACTGCATCAACGAGTTAGCACTCACTGGATGCTTGCTGCCAAGATCTGGGACCCTCCCCTTAGGGGCGCAGTAGTTAAGTGTACGCTGCTAACCGAGAGGCCGGCGGTTCTAACCCACCAGCTACTCTGCTGGGAGGACGATGTGGCAGACTGCTTTCATAAAGATTATAGCCTTGGAGACCCTGTGGGGCTGATCTACTCTGTCCTGCCGGGATATTATGATTTGGAATTCACTCTACACAAGGGGTGTGAGTTTTTGGGAGTTTGATTGTGTGCTGCTTCTTCACTGAGCCCCCTTCATCCTGGTCTTGGCCCTTGGTGTTGCCCTTGGAGTTTTTGTGGCTGGTCCAAAATGGAGCACTCAATGTGGAAAACAAGAGGGCAGTAAGTAAGAGCTAAGAGCCGCTTGGAAGCTGGCCAATGCGTTGATGGAAGTCACTTTTTTCATACAGGCCAGGGGAGACACCAAGTCTGGCATTCAGCACAGTGCTCAGCATCGAGTGGCTCACTGGGGATGGAAAGAGCTATATGAAACACAAATGCCACACGCTAGTGTCAAGTGATAAAGGCGGGCTGGCCATGGTGCCCGGAGAGCATTTCTAGGTGGAGTTCTATAGAGCTGGCTTGTGGAGAATAAGCACACTCTCCTTGGAAATGGGGAAGCGTGGCAGGTGGATTTGTAGGAAGCAGGCAAGCACAGGGCGTGTACAGGAGGAAGAAAGTCATCAGAAGTTACACAGTAGGCTTTAGGTAGCCACTGAGGACTCCCCCCACCCCCATTTAGGTAATGATTTCCATTCAAATAATACTTGAGTTTCTAATAACATTAGGGTGAATGGGCAACAAGAAGCTAGTTCGGAGACCATAGTTTAGACTGAAGTAACAAAGGCCCACATAAAATTGGTGGCAGTAAGAATGGAAGAGAAATGGTGGCTTTTTAAGATACGGTGAAAGAAGACTCAAAGGTTTGCTTAGTGGTTTACAGATTGAGGGAGAAGCAAAAGCTGAGTCTGAGATTTTGAAGCTGGGGCATACTATTGCTATAATTCTAATGGATTATTTGTACTGGTATGTCCAACCGCCTATACAACTGTGGTCCCAAAATGGGTTTTTTGTAACACTGGGCATGCAAAACTGTGTGGTTGTCTGTGAGTGAAGCTCTGGAAGCTTCTGTAGGCTGGTGCCCCTTGCCATCCACGCCTACTCCTGGTAGGGGACCGCCTGGTGCTAGATGAGCTTTGAGCTCTGGCAGGACAGGCATGTGGGTCCACAGGTACCAGAAGAAGGGGAAGCGGCCTCAGGAGGCCTTGCTGCACTTGCGCACTCTCAGGCTTCCCCTGTGTGATGCGCTAGTGTATGGAGCGCCGGACTCACTGGCTACAGGTACATGGCCCCTTGCCCATGGCCCCTTGCCCCTGTGCAGCCATTAGTACGTCACTAGGTTGGAGCTCTTGCTGAAGACCTGACTGCGCTTGGAGGGCTTCTTGCTGTTGCGGACATACAGGTGCTGCATGAAGGTTTGCCCAAGCTGGCCACATTCCTATGGCTTCTTGCCCACGTGGATGCAGTGGTGCTGGATGAAGCCAGATCAGCTGCGGAAGCACTTGTTGCATTTGTGGCAGGTGAAGGGGCTTCTCACCTGTGTGGATGTGCTGGTGTTTCAACAGTAGTGAGCTGAGAGGGAAGCTCCTACCGCAGCTCCCACACGGTGTAGCTTACTGCCCTGTGTGCCGCCCAGGCCCAGGCCATAGCCAGTGCCTAGCTTGGTCCACTTGGAGCTGCTGCTCCCTCGGAATCCTTGTGGTAGGAGGGTAATGTCCCTCTTCTACCTGCAGGATCCAGCCTCTGGTGTCTGGTCCAGGGGCTGCTCCAAAGTGGCCTCTGGCCCAAAGCTGTCCGCACTGTTAGGTGTCTGAGAAAGGGCCCTCCACAGGCTCTTTAGCACCCCTGTGTCATGGTCCACTCCCACTTCAGGAACCTCGTGCAGGGGAGACTTTGACGCCTTTTCAGACTCAACTCAGATTAGGAGCTGTGTTTCTCCTAATCTCAATTTTCTGGGACTCTTGGGAATTCAGGTCAGACAACTCCTCCTCCGCCCATTCCTGGGAGAGCACCTCAGGGCTAGAGGGAGCGAGTGTCATGTGGATGATCATGGAGGTGAAGCAAGGCCTCGTGGTGGTGTGCTCCAGGAGATATCCAAGATTATAGGAGACTAGCAGAGTGCAACAGGAGGGGGCGCCTGATTGTCTCCTAGGACCGCCATCTTCTCAGAGGCCTCCTGAAGGGTGCTCACCTGGGACCCTTATCCTTCCTTGGTGCCTGAGCAAAGGTGGGGGGTCTCAGAGTGGAAGCTGCATCAGCTCATACAATGCAAGCCCTCTCTGAGCTCAGGTTCCGTGCCCTGAGCTGTACCAGCCACAGTGGGAAGGGCACAGAACACCAGGAGTAACCAACACTCCTCCTCCCCCTGTTCTAAACTGGGAGCGCTGTGCCCACCAGGGAGGGAGAAATCATGGAGAGGTTAGCCACAGAGGTGTGCAGGCCTATGATTCCACATGGGCCCTTTTAACCTCGGATGTTGCATGATTTGGATGTTGTATGAGCAACATATTTGTTTGCACAGTGTCCAAATCAAATAATGTTTTATACTTATCTTTTTAAATGTCTCATAGTGCTAGCACTTAGATTTGCACATCAGAAAAACATGTAACAAATGTCTGGGGGGTTGAATGGAGGTGCTAGGTGAAGACATTAGGTGAGATCAACATGAAGAGAGTTGAGACCAGGGACAGGAACCTGTCAATGCCGTGGAGGTGATGAAGAGCCAGCAAGGGTGACTCAACATATCCACAGTGGCTCTCAAGGTACCAATATCCTCTCCAAACCTCAGACTTAATTCTTGTCACGGGCATTGCTAGTCAGTCTTAAAACCTCAGAATCATGTATGATTCTCCTGCCCATCCTCCATACTTAACCAAACCAATTGCTGAGTCCTACAGAGCACCTTATATGGGAGTTTCTTGTCCTGATTATAAAATAACACATTACAGGAAATTGAGACGATAAGGGAAAATGTAAAGAAGAAAATAACCTACCATCAGATACAACCACTTAATTTCCTTCAGCTATTTAAAAATTGTATCACATGTTTTATATATCTCTTAAGTAATCTATTTTTCCTCACAGCAGTCTAAATCCAGTCCTCATTCATTGCCATGGGCTTGGACTGCTGCGTTAACCCCATAAATGAACTTCCTGCCTCCACTTCTCATGCCTCCAGCCCACTTGACCCACAGTTGTCAGCTTCATCTAACTAAAAGGCCCAACTGATCGCAATGCTTCGGTGCACAGGAGCATCCTCTGTACAGGAGCAAGTCCAGACCCCGTAGTCTAGTCCTACTCTACTGTTACCACACCCTTCTTCTACATCAAGAGCTCTCAGCCTCAATGCTAGTGAAATAGAAGGGGGGCTTTGTTGTTAGTAGGCTTTCCTGTGCATTGTAGGATGGTTAGCAGCATCTCTGTCCTCTCCCCACTAGATTCTAGCAACACCCTCCGACCCCAGAGTCAGGCCACCAAAATGTCTCCGGACATTACCAGATGTTCCCTAGGGGACACAGTCACCACTGGTTATGAACTTTATGCATCAAACAGAATTGGGTTTTTTTTGCCCTTATCGTTCTGCCTGTTGTCTCTCTCTGGCCTTTGTTGGACCTCCATCTGGATCGCCCTCTTAGTAGATCCTTATCAACACCCTACCCATTTGTCAAAGCCTGATTGAGAGAGAATATCTGATGATTTCTGACTCCCAGTCACTGGATGTGAACTCTCCTTCCTCTAAACAGAAGAGAAGTGTCAGGAGCGATGGCACAGGAATCAGATGACAGGGTGAGAGGGTAGGTGACAGAGAGGGTGAGCACTGTCCTGAACATTGCTATGTTTGTAATTAGAAGAAAAAAATCCTCTGCGAGAAGATACTTAGCTGCCCATTGAGGCAATTGCAAGGTGAGGTTTGGTTTTGCTTGCCTTTGTTCAACAAGGAGAGACCCGGGGTTGTTGGGAGGAATTGAGGAGGTGGTGGAGAAGAGGAGCAAGGTGCAGAAGGGTTGTAGCCCAGCTGGACAAGGTGCAGCCCAGCTGGAGGACTTGGCTTAAGGAGGAATAGCTTCCACTGATGCAGAAATGAGAAGCCAGAATAGGTGACAAGAGAAATGTCAGGACAAAGCTTATACAAGGAAATGTCAGCTGGGGCTGTGGACAATAAAATAAGGTGCTTGGGGAGATGATGTCTAGCGCCCTTGCAGCACAGAAACCAATTCTGTTCATTGAGCGATGGGATGAATTCTCAGTTGAGCGAGCTTGTGTGGCCAATGAGTGACCCAATATATTTGTTTCCTGCAGCTTCCTGGAAAAAAGGACTTGTTCATTGAGGCAGATCTGATGAGCCCTTTGGACCGAATTGCCAGTGTCTCTATCCTGAAGGTACCTGCCCCTTTTCCCTGATGGACTTGTGAACTTCTGCCCTCTATAATATAGCAGGCAGTTTTCATTTGTTTTGTTTTGATGAACAGTTGAAATTATTGAATTGGGTGGATAAAGGGGGATTGATGCTGCTAGGCTTATTTTGTTGTTTAAATTTTGGTTTCCTTGTTGACAGTTTGAGGAAAGTTCGGGGGAGTTGGTTGTCTGGGAGCAGTTTGAGGCCTCGAAGTAGCCTAAGTCGGAGGCCATTATAGAAGTTCTCTATCTTTGTGTCAAGCTTTGTACCTTTCAGGCACTCTTATGTCTGTTGTATTGGTGGATTCTCTCTGTAGCAACATGAAGTGGACAAGCTGTACAAGGTGGAGAGTAAGCCAGTCCTCAGCTCCAGTGAACAGTGAGTGTCTACGCGAGTCTGTCTCCACTCCAAGCTGGAGGAGGTCCCTGCACATTTGCCTTTAATCTATCCCATCAGAGATGTGGCCCCCGATGTTTGTGATACAGTTTACATTTCTGAACTTGTATAGTTTCATGCCTGGATGGTTGCTTTAGCCTCCTGTCTTAGTTCTCTAGCACAGCTGTGGCGGAAATAACTGCAAGTGGGTGGCTTAAATAAACAGACGTTTCTTTCTTAGAGTTTAGGAGGAGGGAAGTTTGAATCCAGGGTGCAGCTTTAAGAGAGAGGCAGCTTTCTCTGTGTGCTGCCTCTGGGGAAAAAGGTCCTTGTCTTTTCAGCTTGTTTCTTGGTTCCTTGGAGAGCTCATGTAGCATGCCATCTGTCTTTCCCCATCGTTCAATACATGCTTAATCGGCTCTTATGTATTTCAAAAGAGATGGACTTAAAAGACACACTTCCAAAAATAAATAAATAAAACACCCTACCTCACCACCAGGCCAGTACATAACATCATAATAAATGGAGAAAAGATCAAAGTTGTCAAAGACTTCATTTTGCTTGGATCCACCATCAACGCTCATGGAAGCAGCAGGCAAGAAATCAGGCGACGTATTGCATTGGGCAAATCTGCTGCACACGACCTTCTAAAGTGTTCAAGAGCAAAGATGTCATTTTGAGGACTAAAGTAGACCTGACCCAAGCCATGGTACTTTCAATCACCTCATATATATGTGAAAGTTAGACAATGAATAAGGAAGACTGTAGAAGAATTCATGTATGTGATTATAGTAGGAGAATATTAAAAGTATCATGGATCGCTAGAAGAACAAATAATTATGCGTTGGAAGAGGTACAGCCAGAATGATCCTTAGAAGCCAGGATGACGAGATTTCATCTCTCATACTTCAAACATAATGTCAGGAGGGACCAGTCCCTGGAGAAGGACATCGTGCTTGATTAAGTGGAGGGACAACAAAAAGAGGAAGACCCTCAACAAGATAGAGTGGTACAGTGGCGACAGCAGTGGAGGATGGCACAGGACAGTGTTTCATTCTGTTGTGTGTAGGGTCACTATGAGTTGGAACCGACTGGACAGCACGTCACAACAACAACACCACACTGATACTGCTACATCAGCAGAACAAAGAAAACCCATCCCCACATGGGATTATAACCAGAGTTACAGGGGTTAGGGTTACAACACATATTTTTGGGAGACACAATTCAACCTGTAACACCTCTTGATTGGTCTCTCTGCTGTTTCTTCTACCCTGGTGCTTGTCCCTCTTTAATCCAGTCTGCCATTTGTAACCAGATTAACCTTTCAAAAATATTCCCATCCTGCTCCTTTCAAGAACCTTCAAGACTTACTGTGTGACTTACCAAATTCAAATTGCTCACTGAGGACTCCAAAGCTCTCTTGGCGTGCCCTCCCACCATCTTCCCTGCCTTGTCTCTCATGTGCTCCGCTCTGGGCTCCACAGTGCGCATGTACCTTTGCCCTGTGGGGCACTCCATTCACTTGAAATTCTCTCCTGGCCTCATTGATTTTGTAAAGAATGCCCTTGCTCAGAGCTCAGCCCTCCCTCTTCCCTGAAGCTCTGTTACTTGTCCCGTCTAGGTTTTTTTCTCCGCTTCTCGATTTCCGTGTTCAGAATTTATCCTTCTCATCTGGCCCACAGTCATCTACTGCGACCCTGTATAGGGTTTCCAAGGAGCAGCTGGTTTGAACTGCCGCTGGCGTTATGGTCCAAACTGACCTTGGGGTCCAGTGCTTTATCCCATAGCTCACAGCAGGACTCCAATAAATACTCTCAGCTCACCACACAATTGAATTCTGGGATATCTTCTATGGCCAGTATATGGCAGGCCAAAAGAGTAGGCATAGCTTTGGCTAGGATCGGAACTGTAGGCTCTGTTAAGGACAAATGGTGAAAGAGTTGCTATTGTTTCAATTCCTTCTAAGCTCCCGTCTCCAACTTCATTATTTTTCTTCACTGGGTTGTATTTTTCTTCTCTCCTATAGATTGTGCTTCTTGGTCAGACCTCGCATCAAGAATATGCGATACATTGCCAGTGAGTATGCCATGCTACTGTGTTGTAGCTAAACCTGGGGAAGGGTGAGTAAGACCTAAGGACCCTGGAGGTAAAGACTCTTTAAAAACAAAACAATCATTCAAGTTGGCCATATCATTGTAGAAGGTGTCTGATTCCTTTCTAGTCTAACAAGTTGTGTTCATTCTTCCTGTAGATCTTGTCAATACTGACAAATTGGCTGGCCGGACTCGAAAATACAAAGTGATCTTCAGCCCTCAGAAGGTGAGTTTGAATCCTGGTGTGATTAGGATGTGGTAGAGTAGGATTGAGAAGTAGGAAAGGGTATGGGGCCAACAGCTGTGATTCCCTAAAGGCAAACTGTATCTGACTGGAGGGGAAAAACCCATGGTACTGTCTTTTCATTAATGTATCCCAGATTATTTAGCAGAAAGTCATTCATCATTCTGACCCCAGATGAAGTACTGTGGAGTTGTGCAGGGTAGCCTCTGCATAGTTTGTTTTTTTTTACTTTTTATTGTGAATTGAGAAAAGGTTTATAGACAAGATCTTTAAATTTAACAAATCGTACACTTTGTTTCATCTCAGTAATTACAATCCCCTCCTTGCAATAACAGTTACCCTACTTCCTCCTTGTGGTTCCCTGTTTACATCTTATATTTCACAAATGAACAAAGCAAAAATATTTGGTGCACACATACAAAACAAAAATATATATTTATTTAAATGTCCAAAGACACATTCTGCAAGCCAGCTTCCTGCCCACAGGCACATAGCCTTACTGAGTCCGTGGGCCTAGAGCCCGCAGCTGCTCTGTTTCTTCATGCCACCGCCTCTGCCACCATCTCTGCTGTGGTGGAGATGTCATGTTCTTCCTTCTTGATGGTCCTGGGACCCTCTGTTCCTGAAATAAAAGGTTAACTACTTCCCCCTTTTAGTTACACATCTTCTACAATTTCAGTTTTGACCATAACAATTCTGCTAATCAGCATCATCTCACACCCCCTTTCACCAGACCCATTTGGAAAAGAGGAAAACGATTCAGTGGGGATTCTACCCATGATTTTGAAACTAACCACATTCATAAAAGCTTGTAAGCCAGCCACTTCATGCCATCCGTAGACTTATAAAGCTATACCAAGTAGTGCAGACCACTCATAGAACAGACAGAAATTAGAGTTGAAAAGGCATCTGCAGTCATACCACCTCGAATGCATCCAATCCTATCTGCTCTCAGAGGTGAAGTAGAGTCGGGCCTGATTAGTACTTGTATGAGGAAGGGCAAGGATTAATTTTGTTCCAATTTTTCTGCAATAATAGAAACTGTAGCTAAGATTGTAGACTTCAACGCTAGACTGTCTGGGTGTGAATCCTTGCTTTAGCTGTCAACACTACTAAACTACTCTAGGTCTCAGTTTTTTCATCTATAAACTGAAGTGATAATACTCCTTAACTCTATAATTTAAATGATAGAAGATTTTCAGTCTCTGTTTAAAAAACAAAACGAAAACCTAGTAGAATCATAGGCTTCTTTTTATTATTATTATTATTATTATGGAGAAGAGGAAAGAGCCGGCCTTTCCATTGAAGATCATTTGAAGATTGATAGAGCAATTTTAGAAATACTGCTTCTGTTTGGGAGTGTAGATTACAGTTTTGCTGGTAGAAATGAGTGAGGGGTATAAAGGTAAGTAGGATTCTGCTCTGGAAAAGTTAGATAAGGTGCACATAGTATTAATTTTTCACATCTCAAAGATTATCACTGTGAGGATTAAAGCAGTTTATCCTGGTGTGGTGCTGTGGGTTAACGTACTAGACTGCAAGGTTGGTTTAACCTGAAGGTCCGTGGTTCAAGCTCATCACCTGCTGTTCGGAAACCCTATACAGGGTCACTATGAGTTGAAATCAACTCAACAGCACTTACCAACAACAGCAAATCCCTTTTCTTTTAATCTTTTATTATGAATTAAGTGATAGTTTACGTTGTAGAAAATTGGTTTTGCACTCATCCAATCATGTTTTGTTTCATTGCAATGATTACAATCCCCTCCATGCACCATCAGTTAATAGTATTTGCCTCTATTCCCTCTTTTTTTTTTTTTTTTTTGATGTACACAAAAACACTTAGGAAAATATAATCATTTAAACAACCAAAGGCCACAATGTGTAAGCCAGTCCTGGCTGCCAGCACATAGACTTTCTCTTTCCATGAGTCTAGAGTCCTCAGCTGTTCGCTCTCTCCATGTCCTCATCTCTGCCTCCATCTCTGGTGTCACAGCTTCACTGGTTAGGATCCCACATACTGCTCTTCCTCTTCCCTCTTGATGGTCCTCGGGTCCTCTGTTCCTGGTATGTAAGATTAACTACTCCCCCCACTTTTTGTTATACAACTTCTACCTTTACAGCAACAACAAATCCTTTTAAAACACTGAAAACATGTCTATTGTTCAGTGTTGTCAAGTCGGTTCCAACTCACAGTGACCCTGTATAGGGTTTCCAAGAAGCAGCTGGTGGGTTTGGACTGCCAACCTTGTGGTTCACAGTCCAGTGCTGATCCTACAGCACCACACCAGAAGTCCAAAATGATGCCTAGAACATATTAAGTGATTGATAAATATTAGCTATTATGATTTTCATACTTACTGGATGTAGGAGCTCCAACTTTCTTGCTCAGTACCTCCGAATAGTTCCTCCTTTCTTCTCTTGTCCACTTTCCCACCATGCTCTTAGCCCCATCCCAGCCTGTTTCCTTCTCTCCGTGTATCATCAGGCAGACTCTTCTTCTCAACCATGTGTGAGCCTTTCTAATCAGCTTTCCCCTTTTCATCTCTTCTCATTGTGAAGGAATCTCCTGTATTGCTTGGACAGACTGTATAGGTTTTTCTACATTCATAGCTTCTTCTGCTTCAACTTGCAGTCTAATCACCCCAAGATCTCTGTTGTCAAAATCAGTGATGTCTATTTAGTGCTCATGCGACTTGACCTCTCTGGCATTTGACACAATTGTCCATTCCTTCTGGAAACACTAGCCTCCCTGGTAGAAACCCATTGCCACCGAGTGAGTTCTGATTCATGGTAACCCTGGAGGACAGAGCACTGTCCTATCAGGTTCTGAGGCTGTCATCTTTACAGAAGCCAACTACCATTATCTTTCTCCCGTGGAGCAGCTAGTGGGTTTGAACCACTGACATTTTGATTAGCAGCCAAGTGCTTAACCACTGTACCATCAGGGCTCCCCCCCCCCTGCCCCTGCCTTTCTAGGTCTCATTCTCAGTCTTACACTGCATACCTGTTTGATTTTGCTATTCCTCATCTTTAGCTCTCTTTTCTGTCTTCCTTCCTCTTGGACAAACCATTCACTTCAACTACAATGTAGCTAAAGACCTGTTTGCTGGGACCTGTGTTTCCTGAGGTCTCATAGACATGTCCTAAACAGAAGCACGTTTCTAACACTGCTCTTACTTGTTCCTTTCCCGCTATTTTTACAGAACTTTCATGTACTTCCTTCCATCTCTGGCTGTAGGACTCTCCTTTTAAAGACAGCATTCTTTTTTTTGTTGTTTAACTTTTTATTTTATTGTGAATTGAGTGAAGGTTTACAGAGCAGATCATCAATTTTACATTCAACAAATCATACACTTTGTTTGATTACAATGATTCAATCCCCTCCACGTACCATCATTTAACAGTGTTTACCTCTATTCACTTTAACTCTTCCGTGGAATTCATCTTTTTTTCCCCACATTTTACAATTAATTTTTATTGTAAATGTTAGTTTTTTGTTTTTTTTTAATGTTTTATTGTGAAATATTAATTTTACATTCATCCTATTGTATATCATTTCATTGCCATGGTTACAATCCCCTCCATGCATCATCAACCAACTAAAGGATATAC